ACTCCAGGAAGTATGTGAAGAGCGTTGTTGCATAAAAAGCACACGTCGTCTTCCATCTGCACAAGTTCAGAGCAACGCTTGGCGTTCACCATGAACGGCTGCGGTCGTGAGTCTTCCTTCTGCTGACTTGGGTGAAAGTTGGTGCTCTGGGAACCCCCGCTGCACCGTCTGTACTCAGACCTTCTGGGAACTTCTATAAAACATTGGTGACTAAACGTTGAAGCGCTCCTACGTTCATCGCCGCTCCTCTCTAAAGCCAACAGGAACTGAATGCTCTGAATGTTTTAATTTAAAACCGCAGAGAGAAGCACCAGAGGGACCGTGGTGAGCACACACCTGTCTGTCACTCCCTGACAGCAGTCCTAATAAGACAGACAGAAACGAGAAGCTTCATTCATGTTGCATCAACTAAACCACCCTGAACTGGGGGTGCACGGACACCATTTATTTCATTTTGGAGACTGGACATCGGCAGATACGTGGGAAACTAGGACGTTGTTCAAGAGTAAGATTTCAGTAAAATAAAACTGGAAAACTGAATGTGCACCTTATAACACCTGACAGAGTCGCTTATAAAACAAAACCCGTACGGACTAAAATCAGAATGAGCAGGTCAGACGTTCGAAATCATTGATCGGTGATCGGTGCACCCCTACCCTGAACTGTAGGAGCTAGAACATTGATTGTGATCGATGAAAGTTCACGATCAGTTTGAAAGAAACGATCCTGCGCTCACATATGAAGGAAGTCAGAGAGTTTGGTGAGTTCCTCCTGCCCTCGGGGGTTTCCGGAGGGAGTCGGTCCTACAGCCGAGGCTGACGCTCATGCAGAAACTGCAGAAGACGTGAAAAGACGCGTGCGTGTAAAAAGTGTTGAAGTTCTGCAAACAGCAGCTCAGCCGTGGGAAGTCCAGTTCAGACTCTGACCGATGGTTCTGCTGTCAAGCCTGAGCTGCAGGTCCAAACAGGACCGGGCTGAACTCTCACTAAAACTCAGCCCCGTTGATGGGGGGGGGGCACCGTTTTTAGTCAAATCGCTCTCGATTGTTTGACGTTCCAGACGGAGCTGCACGTTCAAGAAGCTGTTCCAAGTCCTGCGCTGGACCCACGTGGCCCTGAGCTTAAAGACTGATCCGAGTTACAGAAGTGAGTATTTTAGGAGAACTGGGCAGAAGAGCAGGAACCTGAGACGTAACGATGCGATGACGGAGCTCAGCTGTGGAGCTCTGTTCGTGTGCTGCGTTTGAAGCAGCTGCAGAGCCTCGCAGCCTGCGTGCACAACGCGATCCACCTGGAAGAGACAAAGTTTCATGACAAACATGTCCACCACACGGAGCTCCACTCCAGGTGCGTGTCTTTACCCTGGTTTGAGAATCTGGGTCTCCCTGGCCCACCACAGCTGTGACCCTGATGAGGGTGAGCTGGTACCAGAACTCAGCGGTCCTTCCCAACGTCTGGGCTTTATCCAAGAGCATCAGAGCCTCAGAAAAGTTCTGCTCCATGCAGGCCAGACGGGCCAGGATCAGTAAACTTCTTGATACGGCGTTCTTATCTCGGAGCTCCTGAAGGCATCGTTGGGTGGACATTAGTGTGTGTGTGAATAACTCGAACTGAAGACATGATCACATGCAGTCGTGACGAGAAGCTAAAGTGAGGACTCACATTTTTGATCTTGTCTCTCATTTATGAACCCTTTTAATTTAGACACACGAAAGCATAAAAACATTCAGATGTCTGCACATTCGGACTCCCTGTAGGCAACAGAGAGGATGCTCATGAAGCATTCACTCTCTTCTGACCCGGTTTACATTTATTATTCCAGTTCCTTTAAATTGTTCTGCACGTTTTTCAGCATCTTTCTCGTCCCACAGTTTCCATCTATTTCAACAAATCATAAATAAAACGTTCGGCTCTTTCAGGACAATCCTGCTCTGACTTTTGGTTTTGGTGCAACTTTAGCTGTTTGAAATATTTAGCCTTTTCTGACATTTTGTTCTCATAGAAACTGAACTGACATCTTTAGATGTGTTCACAACATTTTACTGCTCCGTTCACGTTTTGTCCTGCTTCAGCTTCTGTCAGCTTCCTGCTGCAAATTTAAACTTGTTTAAGCTACTTTCGGCAAATTTCAGCTGTTTTGTGCTTCTTTCAACTTCTTCCTGCTAATTTCAGCTGTTTTGTGCTCCTTTCAGCTTATTTCTACAAGTTTCAGCCTTTTCTGCTATTTCAGCTACTTTTTAGCTGTTTTATTCCAATTTGAGCCTTTTAAGCTAATTCCACATTTTTGAGCTCTTTTCAGCTCCTTCCACTTCCTTCTGCCTTTTCACATACTTTTTTCTAAGTTCAGCTTTTTGAACTAACTTCCCAATTTTTGTGCTAATTTCCGCTCATTTAAACCTAATTCAGCAAATACGTGTTCTTTCTGCTAAGTTAGGCTTGTTCTTCCATTTCAGCTCCATTTCAGCAAGTTCTTCAGCAATAACCATTCACACTGCATTTGGACAGGAAATGTAATTTCTCCAGTTGTTGATCAGTTTGGATTTTTCCCAGCCACTCTTCATGTCTGTGAACTCACCGCAGCCACCATGTGGGCCTCGGCCAGCAGCTGCCTGGCCGGCTGAAGGAGGTCGAGGTCCAGGCAGACCTCAGCTTTGTCCAACCAGAGATCCTGAAGCGTCACGTCTTTATCTGGTCTCCACGCCATCGACTGGTCAGCCACATCAGCTTCCTGAAGAAGCCGTCACGTTTATCACGTTTAATGTCGATAAACCCGAACGTTCAAATTAAAATACATCCGTGTAAACGCCTGAGGTTCATACGTGGAAACTGTTTTCTCACATCACGTGAGATCTAAGTGAACTTCAAGGTGACGTCATTTAGATTTTAAAAGGATATTTCAGCTAATTTCTCAGAGCAATTCATTTTACGTCAACGAAGCGACTGCCGACTTCAAACAACTTTAAACTTCCAAAATAAAAGATTGAGGTAAACTGTTAAAGTTTTAGATCGTCATTAAATTCACATCATTTGGTCGAAGCTGCAGCACGGTGGCGCAACTGGTAGAGCTGCTGCCTCTCATCGAGAAGGTCCCTGGTTCAAATCCTGGTCCGGGGGTCTTTCTGGGTGGAATTTGCATGTTCTCTCTGTGCTGCGTGGCTTTTCTCCAGGTGCTCCAGTTTCCTCCCACAGACCTAAAACATGCATGTTAGACTGATGGTAACTCTAAATTGTCCCTAGGTGTCCCTGTGATGGACTGGAGACCTGTCCAGGGTGTCCCCCGCCCCGCGCACAGTGATTGCTGGACATGGGCACCAGCGACCCCTGTGACCCAAAATGGATGAAGCGGGTAAAGATAATGATGGATGGTCGAAGCTGCAGGTTGTATTATATGTACGTGCTAAAGCTAGCAGCTGCTGCAGGTTTTACACGTTTTACACGCAGAAGAAATCAAACATGCAAATGTTCAGGTTTTATAAAACTGATGGCTCAGTAAAGATGTATAAAATAATGTTGGCATGAAACGATGCAAAGGTTTGGAGATTAGAGCCATTTTTTTATCAACTTTGGTCTCCTGAGGTCATCAACAGAGCTATCTACAGCAGGTAGGATATTATTTCTTCATAGCTTATGAACAGAACCCCACTTCAAAATGTTCAGAATGGCTCTTTAAAAAGGCTGCACTGATCTACAGTAAGATCCACAAACCACTGCACGCAGATGATGTACTACATGGTTTGAATTTATCTGAGAGAAATTAGACTAAACTTGTCAACCCTTGTAAAAAATGTTTGTTTGTTTGTTTGTTTGTTTGTGTAAACGACCTGGTCATGTGACGTGTGAAGGCTTCTTCTCTTCTGAGAAATCACCATGGCTTTGTGGCTCCTGCAGTCATGAATGCAACATTATAAGACATCAATCATGAGCAAACATCAGAATTTGTTTAGATCTCAGGGTTCACAGACTCTATTTGTTCTTCTTCTGGGATCTGGATCAGATTTAAGAGCTCCTGATTGGGTGAAAGGTCCTCCAGGCCCAGATGAACGCAGGTCCTCACAATCCTGATTGGACAGAAAACCAGAAGGAACAGGAACATCAAATGAAATCATGAAGGAACCAAAAGGAGCAGAAGCTCAGACTTCACAGGTCTCTCCAGGTGTGTTGAGATGTTCTGGAATCAGAACGTTTTGGACAGGAACAAACTGGAATTTAGACATTTTTTTACAGTTTAACTGTAGCTTCTTTAACATGGGACGCTCAGCTGGAACAGATTATTGATACGTGTCCTGACCCGCCTGCTCTGGTGAAGGCAGCAGATAACAAACACCACCCGCTCTCTGGAAACGATGGATGTCTAAAGTTAAACGAAGACTATGGAGGGTTGAGAGCTGGCACTGGTTTCTTTCCTGACAGTAAATGGTGTGTGTTTGGTGTGTTTGGGCTGGTTTGCCTCAAAAAGCTGTCATTGAAAAAGAAGTCATTGAAATGTGGGCGGACTGTCACTCAGTGACGACTCTGGATGGATGAACAGAGTCCTCCTTACTGGCTGCAACAGATGAACTGCTGGACATGAGTTTGGGTCTCAGTGTTGGTTTCAGGTGGATGATTTTTGTAAAAGAAAAAGAAACGCTCGTTTGCCTTTCTGGGTGGAGTTTACGTGTTTTTCCTGTGCATGAAGGTCTTTTGTGCCCAAGTTCTCCAGTTTCCTCCCACAGACCAAAAACCTGCACGTTAGGCTCATTACAAGTTAAACTGTTCCTAGAACTGGGTGAGAGAGTGAATGGTTGTTTGTCTCTATGTGTCCCTGTGATGGACTGGAAACATGTCCAGGTGTCCCTGTGATGGACTGGAAACATGTCCAGGTGTCCCTGTGATGGATTGGAGACATGTCCAGGTGTCCCTGTGATGGATTGGAGACATGTCCAGGTGTCCCTAACATGGACTGGAAACATGTCCAGGTGTCCCTGTGATGGACTGGAAACATGTCCAGGTGTCCCTGTGATGGATTGGAGACATGTCCAGGTGTCCCTAAGATGGACTGGAAACATGTCCAGGTGTCCCTGTGATGGATTGGAAACCTGTCCAGGTGTGCCCACTTCTCACACACTATCACTGCTGGAGACAGACACCAGCTCCATGAGCCCCAGAAAGGAAAAGTGGGTAAAATAAATGAATGAATGAAATGAATGGGTGGATGGGTGGTTTGATGGATGGATGGATGGTTTGATGGATGGATGGTTTGATGGATGG